TGTGTGTGTGTGTGTGTGTGTGTGTGTGTGTGTGTGTGTGTGTGTGTGTGTGTGTGTGTGTGCGCGTGTGTTTACCCTAGCAGAGACTCGTCTCCGAGCACAGCTGCCCCCTCCACCATACATTGTGCTAGCGTTGCGAGCGGAAGCTTTTTCTGCACAGAAACACAAACAGTCGATGAATCAGCTGCAGTTCATAAATAAAACCACAAACACAGAGAAAACATCATAAAAGCATACGAAGATTATAAATTATCTTTAATATAAGTACCAGAAGTTAAAACACGTGCTCATGTCACATCAGTTCATCACTTTTTCAAACTTTTATTTTATTTTTAATTAATGAATTTTAAAAAAGCTTATTTTTCTCTCTTTTTTTCCTTGGCCTTCTCACGAGTTACTGTCTTGGTTCCATCTTAAAACATCTTCATCTCAGGCTCCTCTAAGCTTTAGGATGAAAACATTTTTAATCCAGTGAAGGATTAAAAAGATTAACTTTCCACAACACAAATGGCACATTATTGTGCAGCACTTGAATATTTTGTCACTCAGTCTCTTGGTTTGCAGGAAAATATTTTCTCTGTTTGTTTTTTTAAACATTTACTGGAGGATGAAACATGCTTTCCAATATCGTTGCTAATCACCTGTCAGTGTCCTTCTGTCCTCTCTGAAAGTCTTAAAATTTAATTTGTCATTAGGAAAACTTTTAGTCTCAGTTGTTATGAAATTACTGAGAGCACAATGAAGAAAAACTGGATAGGTAGAAAATGATTCATTTTCATTCTATTCCATTAAAATATAACAATAAATATTAAGTTGTGGCTGCTGCTGATTAGCATGCAATGTTTTTAAAACAAATCAATAAGACAAATGAAGAGCAGCAGCATGCTCTGACTGTAGAAATAAAGCGTAAGACATGCCCAGAGGGCAGATAAGTCTGCTGTTTACACCAATCCTGGAACATTTTACTTTGTATACTAAGATTTAACCGCATAAACTTCACTGCAGTATAACAACTATGGATCGATTTATTCAATTCATTTGAGCGTACACACAGGCCTCGATTTGCTTTTCTTGTGTTACTAACCATCGGTCACTAGTGGACATTCCAGACCCCCGGTTGCCTAGGTAACCCTCTAACGCATTTACCAACTTGTCATATGTCCGTCAACAGTGTTCTTTGCTGTCACTGGTCACTGATACCCAAATTCTTACCACCTCTCTGCCCTTTCATATACATAAATGTAAAGCCAGAGGCAGAGAGACCAGCAGCAAGACCACGACACAGAACAGAGCAGGCATGAATGACAGCAGATGTGCCACTGAATTAACCAGCATGAAAGGATGAGCTAGGTAGAAGGTGGAAGTGGGTTGCAAAGTGGCCTGCAGATAACCATTAAATGTATGCAGACTAAAGCTGCCTACAGAAGCTGCCCTACGTGAGATTCGTCAGTAGGATATGAAGAAAGGTGTCAAATGAGCAATCAGTTTCTTCTAAGTTTCAGTTTCTTCTTCACGTTTCTTCTAAGTCCCGTCGTTGTTGGACTTTTGGATGAGTTATAAAAAGATTCACGTCTTCTCTGAGGATTGGACCTCCCAGTGATCGTTTATTGGCTGGGCAAATGTGTAAACCTACCCCATCATATTTATGGCTCCAACCTAACATGGCCAAAATACTAAGGCTGTAAAAAAAATGTATATGGTTGTACATCATGTGATTTGTACCTTGATCAGCACACAAGCCCACACTGGTACAGCTCAGCTAAAATACCAGATGACAGAAAAGGTTTTATCAGATTTGTAGTGTTTATTTTCTCTCACCGAGGGTGACCTGACAGACTTCTTGTCCACGTCCACGCCCTGCTGGCCCTGCAGACAGGCGGTCAGCTTCTTGTGTGTGCTGTGGGAAACCTGCTTCACCAGCTCCAGACGTTTCTCCACCTGAAACACACACAGAAGGGAAGGAAGACAGAATAGTCAGGGCACAGGCCTCAGCCAGAACCATGCACACACTGTGAGCTCCTTCCACTAATGCACAGCTTGTGTCAGCTTCAGTTACAGACATGCACTCAAACCTCAACCCAGAACAGGGGTTGATTTAAAAATAGAAACTCCATCTTTCCATCAGAGCTTTTCCCCCAATAAAACAGCATCATTCTCAGTTGGTGTGAATGACGCCGCACCATTACCTGTTGGGCTTCAATGCGTCTCATTTCATTATTAAACCAGCTGAGTGGAAGCGATGTGTCTGCCACTCAGAGCATCATTAATCTGATCAATTACAATATCGCACCCCAAATCAATCAGCGAGGACGTTTCACTTTTTGTCTCGCAAAGAGGTTCAATTTCAGCGTTCGTTAATGTTGCCCGAAGGCAGTTCAGAAAGCCATTAAAAATAACAAAACATATTAAAAAAAATTCACGCATGCTGAATATTTTGCTCCATTAATGATTTTTCTTGTGAGATTTTTCTTGTGAGAAGCAGTGACTATCGAGCCAAAGAGGAAAAGCATTCGCACAAACACACAGATTCGATGAAGACTCATTAGTACCTGCAGCAGATCTTCACTCAGCACTTCTGTTTTTTCAGCCCTGGAAGAAAAGAGAAGAGCGGCTGTTAGGATGACAGAGAGAGGGAAACGTTAAAATTACAGAACTTGTTATTGTGGGAACTTGGCAAGTAGCGCACAAACCACTCAATCACTGTAATTGCATCATTTGCTCGACTTCTGTGCAAGAAATATAAAATGCTGCAGCTGCCTGGAGCTAATCGTGTAAGAGGAATGTTTATTTTCACAGTTGCACAGGACTCACGCTGGTCTGGTTTAATTACAAAGTCTCAAGTTGGAAATGTGACAGAAAACAGAGACTGACTGACACTTACAACATTTTTAAACTCTTTGACTTATCTTCCAATTATTTTATGGGTTGGGAATTTTTCTATCCTAATAACTAAATAAACAAATCTAAAAACTATCAGAATCATCTGAAAACACACAAAAAAGCTTCTTTTAGTTCATAGAAAACGTCCAAAAACTCTGCTCCAAAAATGAGTCAGTCTCCATAGACTCTCCCAACTTTACAGCCAAATAAACATGTTTATAGCCTGCTGCAAAGAAACGTTTTGGTCTCTATAGCTAAAGCTCCAGTCAGATAGTTAGCAACCAGTTGGCAACTGCCGGGCAACCACTGGTAGCTGTGAAAACCTCATCCACACGGGCCTAAAGACCAGTCAGTCCCCTGATGATAAGCAGCTGCTAGGAAAAAATGTGTGTCCCCCCAACCAGTTGGTGAGAGCTTGTTTGCTGTCAGTAGGTGAGATTAGTTCCCAAGAGGTTCTGCCCCAAAAGCCTCTTTAGAGTTGCTTTGGTTGCAACTGGTTGCCACCGTCTCCTGTAGTTTGTATGGAAGACACCAACTTATCTCCAACTAAAAAAAAAAAGTGCAACAAATTCATCCTCAAAGTAAAACTGGCATCTTTTGCAGCACGTTGCTCTCTGAGATAAGGCACAGCTTCTATTTTGCAGGTGAGCAGTCTCACCTTCCGGTCTGTAGCAACCAAAACAATAACAAGGAGATATTTGATGCAGCAACCTTTTTGTGACTGATCTCATTTACAGTAGCAACAGCCAGCAACCTCCATCAACCGCTCGCCAGCAGTTTCACTTTCGTGTAACTCCACAGGGTGACATTATTTAACTCACAATTTCAGCGTGTATTTAGTTCCAAAACTATATTTTTTAGCGGGGCTTCTGCTTTGACTGATAAGTGGATGCTGAGTCAGGTAACCAGAGCCTATAGCTGTCTGCTAGGCCTCACCTCTGTCAGTTTAAACCACTGAATGTGACCTTTCAACCACATTTGCACTGTTTGTTATTATTATTTAATACATTTCTGTCTTGGTGATGCACCCATACAGCTTTTCAATTCAGCTTGCTTGCGTTAGCTGATAACTTAGCACTCCTCTATCTGGATCAACAAATATGCAATAAAATATTATAAAGACACTACGGTGGTGACTCAACAGAAGAAACTACCGGGAACTTCTAGTGACAACAAGAGAAATAACCCTTTACAGAGGCAAAGTGGGCAGTTCCCGATATTCTCAAACGTAGAGTGCAGGACTGAAGTGACTGATATTTGAAGGGGATCTAGACAACTGCACACCTGGCATGGCCATCAGCCACCAGCCAGCTATGAAGCAACAATTACAGTGTATGTGTGCCAGGGCTTAAGAGTCAAGTCACAAACCGAAATGCCAATGTTACCATAGAAACATGCTGCCAGTGGCAATGCAATGTTACTGATATTAAATTTGTGTACTGTTGATTATGTTCAGTGAAGATGAAAGGATGTAAGGAGTAGAGGTAGTGAAGGTGGATGGGTTTAAATACCTGGTGTCAACTATTCAAAACAGTTCAAAGAAGAGGTGAAGAAGAGAGTGTAGGCTGACAAAGACAGGATAATGGATTAATTTTACATTTCCAGAACTAAGTATGAAAGTATTACCCCAATAAAAATGTATTAAAAAATGTTAATGTTGCCTCTTTCAGAGTCAGACTTTCAGTTAGTATGCATCAAAGTAGTAAACATATGTATACATATTAGGATGTTTCTTATTTATCTTTTCTTATTGGCAATAAATCCCACATTGACAAGAAGAAAGAATCGCCTCCTCAAGCTGACAATGGTTCCTACTGAAGATGCAAGCCTTTAAAAACAACCCACAAATATATCATTTCATTTTCTAGAAAAAAAAAGAGCTTAGTAGCCCTAAAACAGCTGCTCTCCGCAGGTTTCAGCAAATGTTTCTCAAACAAGAAGAAATGGAGCTTTTGTTGGAGACTATTATCTGCATCGCATTAATGTACACATGGTACTCTAGTGAGTTTTTCAGGCAGCAGGATGGTGTGTTTGTGAGATTGAACCATTATAAACCAGTGTATGTGTTCATGATAATGAAGAAACATGTCACCCAGTGCAACACTGATGTGTTTTTAATAGTTTCTGCAAAACAATGAAGCTCGATAGCACGCAGGAATAAAAACTCTCAAGCTTTAAATGTGCAGACAACACATGGGTGTTGTTGTTGTTCATGGGTGTTGTTGATATCAGGCTTTAACTAATGATGAATGATTTTAATCATACCAACGATGTAGCATTTAGAAAAACATATTCTGCTCCATTATTTGATCACCAGTTCCTTCAGGAAGCCAAAGCGCCATGCACTGAAATAACACTAACAGACTGCAGCACTGCCTTCAGCAGCAGTTGAACAGCTGATGGAGATCAGTGTGGATATTTCGGATGCTAAGATGACCTGTAGGTTAATAACAAAGACAGCCTCTGGAGGAAAACGTTGCCTGGAGTGTCACAAAGCCTTTAGACAATAGATCTGATAAGATGCATAACAACAAGCTGCAAATTTAAAATAAGGCAAAACCTGCAATTACTGGTCTTATTTCACCTGGCTAACGTTTGCAGAGATATTTATCTATTGGCATCTTCTTTTAACGCTAATAAGGAAGTTTTATGCATTTTTTAATTGTCCATTTCTTGAAAGTCTCTTAACATTTATGTCTATCTGCTGGTTTAGCATTGCTTACTCCTGCTTTAAAATCACAGGGGTCAGACAAAGACATCTGTGTCCAGTAAAGATGCACAAACCTAACCGTTTGAATTTCAAAATCAATCCAAACACCTGCTAAAACCAAATTTTTGCTCTTTCAAAGTTGACATGAATGCACGACAATTTATAAAGTTTTAAACATCAATCCTGGGATGAAAGACATGAAGGTTACACTAAGTTTTTTCCCCCCACATAAGTATTTCATTATTTTTTGACAGTTTGAATGCGTTACTGTTAAATTTCCTCTGATGGCTGTTGCAGTATTCCTCTATTGTTGTTCATAAGCAAACACAAAAAGTCC